CGGAAATTGTAGGTTAAAATCTGGGAATGTGGGACATTTATTATTTCCATGTATTCGTTTCCTTTTTAGAGATGCAGAAATGCAACAGAAGCAAAAGAAAGCCAATCAAAAAGTGCAATCTAAAGCCATCAACAAACCCTTCAGATGATCCTAATCTATTATTGCTGGTGTCATTAGGCTGTATTGGTTTGTTGTCTAGATTAAGCAGTACCATTGTTTGAACTTTGATTTGAAACCTTTTTGTATTGTACTAATTAAGGTTGATTGGGCATTTACTTCACAGTGTACAGGTCTTACTTTTCTTGATCCGTATTTACCATGTAAAAACCAAGCATAACAGACCCACAAAAACCATCTTGCTATTACGTACTCTTGTAATTTTAGTATCTCAATCACGTTCCTGTACTCAATTGTTGAATAAAGTATCTCAAATCGGAGTTTGATTTTTTGGTTTCAAAGACATGAAAATACTAGAGAACCTTTTTCTCCCTGCAGATTACAACAGATACATGGCTTGCAGACCTTTTATGTAGACTTTAAAATCACATCGAAAACTTTTATTTAACACATTAAAAACATTTACATGAACATCCTTCAACACAATAGTAATTTAATTTACATAAATAAAAAGTAAATTTAAATAAACACAGAACCCTGAAGTGAATTTGATCATACGTAGGCAAATGTAAAAGTAAACATTTGATCAGTGTGCCTAAAAACACCAAGAAAAAAAAAAAAACTGCTTAAGTGACTACCTGGAGACAGAAAAAAAAATAAAATAAACAAAAAAGGACAGGATTTAAATTTTAAAAAGCATTAAAAAATTTTTTAAACCAGATCTCTGCATGACTTAGACTCCACAGCAGTTGCTCAGAGTCTTCTTCCGTTTAGGACAACTCAGCTTAACCTGTGACTCTGACCTCCGCCCCAGTTTTGCATGTTTCTTGACTTCTCTGTGGTAATTTGAAGACGTTTAAAGCCTGAAAACACTTCATGCGTGTTAGAAGCAAGAACTGGCGTCATAGCTTACCTTGCTAAATGCAAAACTGCCTCGATGACATTCGTCCCCTCTTTAGCACTTGCTTCGCAGAACAGGGCATTATAAGCCTATAATGTACAGCAAATTAGGACTGACATGGTTATTGTACATATTCCCATACAAATCGAAGACTCACCATAGCAAGCTTTTCCCCATGGAACGCGCTTACACAGCTTCCCTCTGGCCTCTCTGCCCTCAAATCTACCTTGTTCCCTATTATACACATTGGGATGTCCTCATCTGTTGACTCCTGTGAGGGAAAGCTTACAGGATTCAGTCTACAAATGATACAAAGTAAACAAACTCACTAAAATGTGTCACTGTACCCGAATCTGTTGCACCCATTCACGAACATTAAGGAAACTGCTCTCAGACGTGACATCATACAACAGTAGCACTCCATGTGCTTTGCGAAAATATGACCTGGCGATGCTGCGGAACCTGTGGAAAAGAAACTAGTTTGTATACCTTTAATGTTAATGTAGCCCTTTAAAATAATGTCAGCAAACTATCACTCAAAAGATTAGTTGGAGCTAAACGGCCATTGAAAAATTCAGCTTTGCCATCACAGTAAAAGTTAAACTATAAAATACAATAGAAAAATAAAAAAGTCACAATATTGCCATTTTTACTGCATTTATGAACAAAGTACAGCATTGGGGAGCCTAAAAGAGTTCTTAAACACTTACCAACCCCAACTTTGAAAAGTAGTGTATCTTTGACATGCTGTTCATGTCACAATGAGCTTAAAAAAAAAATCATAAGGTTTAAAACCTGCACATCCCACAATAACTAAATTGTATTAACTTATTAAAACAAACAAACAAAAAAAGCAATCCTCAGAAGAATCATTAACGTTACACATCAAGTAACAAACATACTAAAAAAAAAAAAGGGGAGATTAATGTTTAAACCCTAGACCTGCATGTCTGCTAATATTCCATTAGTGCATTTACTGTAAACACATTTCCTGTTTGTTTATGCAAAGAGTCAGAATTTGTCTGTAGCGACATGGAACATGTGGTATATCAACTACATTGAAAACACTATTTATTTTAACAAGACTCTTGAGACAGTTGTGGCTGTCGGGTGGGTGGGGGGATCTTAGGTTCACCTATGCTGCACATTTACTTGTTAAAAAAAAAAAACATTGATTTAGTTGTCTTTTTAAATATACTTCATTTAATTTATTCCTCTGATGGCAAGGCTGAATTTTCAGCATCATTACTCCAGTCTTCATTGTCACATGATCTTTCAGAAATCATTGTAATACGCTGATTTGGTGTTCAAGAAACTTTTTTTATCAGTGTTGTGCTGAATATGAAGTTCAAAAGAACACCATTTGAAAATATTTTGTAACATTATAAAATGTCTATAATACCACTTCAATGTAACGCATCCTAGCTGAATAAAAATTCCTTCTCTTACAGACTCCAAAATGTGAATGTTAGTGTATGAATACAACAAAAAGGGATCATTTTCTGTAAAAGCAAAACATGATACCACTAATGAAGACTAATATGCAACTTAAACAATCAAGAATTTAAACAAAGCTAGTCTACACTTGGTTCCTAAGTGAAGCATATAACTGTACCTTTCCTGTCCAGCAGTGTCCCAGATCTGAAGGTTTGTTTTCTCTCCATCTACAAGCATCTTCTTGATTTGAAAATCAACACCTGTAAGAATGCACTTTGAGCTATTTGGATCGTCAATCATACTGTATTAATATGGCAACAAAGCACATTCAAAAATGACACTATTGTATTTTCTCACCAAGAGTGGTTTGTATATCTCCTCTAAATTCATTAAGACTCAATCTTAGTAAAAAGCTGGATTTTCCCGACCCGGCATCCCCAGCCAACACCAGACGGTACACTGGAGCAAGATCTTCAGTGTCGTGCAAGTCTTCAATTTGCTATAGAGAACAATTGTAAAGAGGCAGTCTATCACAGTGGTTCTCAACCTTGTTGACTCCAAGGCCATCCACTTCTCCAGCTGGAACTGACTTACTGGAGGAATTCTATTTGGTTGGAATAAGACTGGTACTCCATCACCATCTTCTTAAGGTCATCGCTTTCTCTGAGAAGAAATCACATTAAGCAGTTTTTCTTAAATAACTTCTTAAGTCACATTGGAGGAGGCTGTGTTTAAGAACCAGTAGCAGCATTCGCATTCACATATTTACACAAACATAGCTTAAATTAATTGAAGCATCAGTGTTCTCACCTCTCATGTTGGAGTTTCTGGTCAGTGAAGGCATTCTTCAACCTGTCCAACTCAACCTGGAGAATGGAGACATTTATCTGGGCTTTCATAAGAGAACTTCTCAGCTCCTCATTTTCCTGCAGAGGAACACAAATGAAAGCCGATAAGATCACAAATGTTCCAATTTGCATTGCAAGTGTGCCAATTAGAGGTCTCCACAAGATCGATTTTTCAGTGCCGTTCCAGCTAAAGATATATTGCTTCCCGTTACTGCCTGCAAAATCCCAATTGTAGATCTATATAGATTTTTCAGTCCTGTTGCACTATGACTGTCTAGCGCCAGTGTCATAGGCTTTTTTCCCCCAATTCCCACACAAACATGAAGCGCCAGCTCACCTTGCTGCATTTTTCGCAGCAGGCAAAGGGAAGGTGCTTTCCTTTGTTCTTTTCCTTTCCCCACTGAGAATATTCAATCATGCACCTGTAAACCATGTATTTTTGTTGTGCAATAGACAAATAACATTCTGTATCCTAAAATGAATTTGATTTACTTGTTTTACAGAATTTTTTTTGCATGAGTCCCACAAGTCATATCTTTCTCCAGACTACACATCCATAATCTTCCTCACACACACCCATCAATTCAGTGTCTCGCACAACACTCAGTTGAAGATACTGCGGGAACACAGACCTCTAGTGCCAGCCCTTATTCTGAATTTAGTAGTTGGCAATGTCACTTTGTAAAGAAACACTATACGCCTGCACACAAACCTATAGACTGGACAATACACAACACTGGTTTCACAAATTTGCCCATTTAAAAAAAACTGGTCAGTTCCTCTGTCCTGTCGACATCAAAAAGCATAGCCTTTCAGAACCAAACGGCAACTTTAAGGTTGTTTTATCCAGAAAGCGGTTTGAAACAACCATCCTTGGTCTTATGATACCCTTTAATGCATCCAGGTGCACCTACATCCAGATCTCAAAAGAAACGTTCCCTGAGGAGCTACTACTGGAGAGATGAAATACTCCTTTAAACTACAGTCTTATCGTACAGTTGAGCAAACCTCTGACGAAAGGGAAGGGAGGAACAAAAGTAAGGCTCTTGAGAAGCCGTAACTTTGTAAGGTGGACCGGAGATGAAACAAACAGCGCTAAACACACAGTTAAAGGCCTGGAATGTCTCCCTGTGAAAACCGAGCACTCCAACTGCATCCACACCTACAGAACCACATAAATAGTTTTGAGAAATGCAAGGAGAATGACAAGCTTAGTAACTCTATCCTAATTTTCAATTTCCTCCTTCCTTATAAATGGCAGAACTTTCCTTTTTAATAATAAAAGCTTTATACTTTAAACACTTAAAACAAGAAAAAAAAAAAACTTTAAGATGTAGAACTATATTTGCATGTATTTAAATAGACTATATAGCATTAAAATAACTATATAATTAAACAAGGATCTGTAGTACTTAAACATGCATTTGTATATCATCAAGATATGCAGCAAAATATTGTCTACTTTTGCATTAATCTGCATCCACATTAATCTTAAATTTTTAATATTCAGTAAATGTACACAAATGTGCCAGTTCATAATTATAATCACTACACATCAAACTTGTATGACTTCTCACCTCTTCCCTCACCCTTTCTTCCGTGCGGGCCAGTTGCAGCTGCAAGTCCTCCTCCATCTCTGCTAAATGACTGCTGGTCAGTTCCTCTGTCCTGTCGACATCAAAAAGCATAGCCTTTCAGAACCAAACGGCAACTTTAAGGTCGTTTTATCCAGAAAGCGGTTTGAAACAACCATCCTTGGTCTTATGATACCCTTTAATGCATCCAGGTGCACCTACATCCAGATCTCAAAAGAAACGTTCCCTGAGGAGCTACTACTGGAGAGATGAAATACTCCTTTAAACTACACAGTCTTATCGTACAGTTGAGCAAACCTCTGACGAAAGGGAAGGGAGGAACGAAAGTAAGGCTCTTGAGAAGCCGTAACTTTGTAAGGTGGACCGGAGATGAAACAAACAGCGCTAAACACACAGTTAAAGGCCTGGAATGTCTCCCTGTGAAAACCGAGCACTCCAACTGCATCCACACCTACAGAACCACATAAATAGTTTTGAGAAATGCAAGGAGAATGACAAGCTTAGTAACTCTATCCTAATTTTCAATTTCCTCCTTCCTTATAAATGGCAGAACTTTCCTTTTTAATAATAAAAGCTTTATACTTTAAACACTTAAAACAAGAAAAAAAAAAAGAAAATACTTCCTGGACAAAAAAAAAAGACCAGTTCTTCTGTCCACCATACAATGTAGTATGTAGGAAATTCACAATTAATAAATGTGGATTCATTAATCTGACATTGTACAGTCTTTCTGTACATACTGCAATACTGTATCCAATTCTTTAATAGTCTCAATTCCACTAGAAAGCCTGAAAACATCCAAGGAAGCTGCAAAATGACAAATTTAAAATAAATATGATAATTAAAGTGCTTAAATAGTTTTTGCCATTAACACATCAAACTTGTATGACTTCTCACCTCTTCCCTCACCCTTTCTTCCGTGCGGGCCAGTTGCAGCTGCAAGTCCTCCTCCATCTCTGCTAAATGACTGCTGGTCAGTTCCTCTGTCCTGTCGACATCAAAAAGCATAGCCTTTCAGAACCAAACGGCAACTTTAAGGTTGTTTTATCCAGAAAGCGGTTTGAAACAACCATCCTTGGTCTTATGATACCCTTTAATGCATCCAGGTGCACCTACATCCAGATCTCAAAAGAAACGTTCCCTGAGGAGCTACTACTGGAGAGATGAAATACTCCTTTAAACTACACAGTCTTATCGTACAGTTGAGCAAACCTCTGACGAAAGGGAAGGGAGGAACAAAAGTAAGGCTCTTGAGAAGCCGTAACTTTGTAAGGTGGACCGGAGATGAAACAAACAGCGCTAAACACACAGTTAAAGGCCTGGAATGTCTCCCTGTGAAAACCGAGCACTCCAACTGCATCCACACCTACAGAACCACATAAATAGTTTTGAGAAATGCAAGGAGAATGACAAGCTTAGTAACTCTATCCTAATTTTCAATTTCCTCCTTCCTTATAAATGGCAGAACTTTCCTTTTTAATAATGAAAGCTTTATACTTGAATCCATTAAACACTTAAAACAAGAAGAAAAAAAAGAAAATACTTCCTGGACAAAAAAAAAAAGACCAGTTCTTCTGTCCACCATACAATGTAGTATGTAGGAAATTCACAATTAATAAATGTGGATTCATTAATCTGACATTGTACAGTCTTTCTGTACATACTGCAATACTGTATCCAATTCTTTAATAGTCTCAATCCCACTAGAAAGCCTGAAAACATCCAAGGAAGCTGCAAAATGACAAATTTAAAATAAATATGATCATTAAAGTGCTTAAATAGTTTTTGCCATTAAAATTGCCTTTAATTCTTTAAGAAGTTTTTGCCCTATCAAAAGGTGCATGACATTATATCAAGGTGCAATTGTTGTCCTTCATAACATCTCAGCTGGTCAAGACAATCTGAAAGAGCCAAACCCAGCTGTTGTAAATAGTGATTCACCACAGCATCCCAGCTGAATCCTGGAAATGCTTCTCACACCTTCGTAGACTGGTCTCGAGTTGTTCACTCTCCATCCTGTGCTCTTTGCTCTCAGCCACAAGAGCCTTGATGAGGTCCTCATATTGCTGCAGTAACAGCTCATCTGATGTAGAGTGGATCTGTTCATACAACTCCCTCAATTCATCCCACTGCCTGCAGACACACAAGCAGCACAAGAAAAAACACACACGTGGCTGGATAAAATAATCCAGTTGTGAAGGCAGATATTGGCATGAATTTGACAAAAAAAAACAACGTTTCGGAAAAGTCATTGATGTTTTCGTTTTTTTAAGGTCAAAAATGTTTAGTGGGGTAACCATCCAGAAATTATAAACGGGAGGGGAATCTGAATTTGAGGGGGAAAAGGTTGGCATAACGTTAAACACATATAAACAGATGTTTTAAAGTATCAAATTCTCAAAAAACATGGTTAAGTAGCCCAAGTATAAAAACAAACATAGGCCTACGCCGACATTTTTATGAAACGCAAGCTTTGGCCAAATTCAGTAACCCCAAGAACATTCGATGTTCATTACAAACAAACAAATCATGATAGGCTACTTACTGTTTACCTTGAAAATGTTTGAAAACGTCATGAAAACTATATAAAAACGTAAGCCTACAAATCTATTATAAAAGTATATTAAAACGAGATTATCGTCTCGGAAATCCCCCTTTTTTTTGCAAACCAATGTACACTAGCTTCTCTTTTATCAGTAAATGTTTACATAAGTGAATCTAAACTTCACAAGTTAAAATATACCTTCCCAAATAAAAGGCCACATCTCCGTCGAATGTGTTTTCAAACCCATCCCAAGCGCTTCTCTGACTTTGCAAACGGTTTCCCAACAACGCCAAATTGAGGGCTTCGGAAACTTCCTGAAAGCTTGACGAAAAATCGTTGAAATTAATGTATCCGTCCCCGTCCAGATCAAACTTGTTGAATAAAGTCCTGATCTCGTCCGCAGGCACATTAAGCTCTCGACAAACACTGGTGAAGTCCTCGTATTCGACTCTTCCCGACTTATTCCCATCACATGCTGCAAAAAGCCTCCGAAGGTCAGCTTGGTTCATATTGTCACTAGACGAGGACAAACAAACTGTTATCCAAAATACACCCGTGTACAACGATAACGCTCCAAAAACGATAAAAAGTGATAAAAGGACAAAAGGAGAAGACGACAGTGTGAAGAGGAGCGAACGCTAAAGACTCGTGATCTATCATCACCAACAGGTGCGCAGAAAGTTGACGCCTAAAACCAGAGGCAGGTTAGATAAAGGCATGATTGGATGATCGCTCATTATCTCGCCTTGTAACAAGTTGAACTCAAGGTAGTGTGCCATTGGATAGTGATGGAGGTGGGCGTGCTGTAAAGTGTACAACAATCTGAGAACCAGCCCACATTTTGGTCTAGCCAGCTAAAACTAGCAAAAAACAGCCAGAAGACCAGCCTGACCAGGGGTGCGTTTTCCACCCCGCATTGTTACCCAACTTGGCAACGGCGGATTTTGCGACCATTAATTGCCTTTTTGGGAAACGCGCCGCAGACTGGGAGAGGACTAAACACACGTGTGCTGTCATTTTATTTGTGGTTTCTATTAATAAAAAATGAATAACATTACTAGTGAATAAAATAAAAAGAAGGGGAAGAATAAAAAAGCAAGGAAAAAATAATAATGAACTTCTGTTGTCCTCATTTGTAAGTCGCTTTGGATAAAAGCGTCTAATAAATGACTAAATAAATAAATACATAAAAAAAACTTACAATGTTAGTCTTCATTGCTTTTCAGAGAGTCTTAGCCTATGCACTGCCTGATTTCACTGCGCCTCCAGGTCTTTTTCGAATCGATTGTTCCATATAAATAAAATAACGGCTATAATAAAATTATTTAAAAGATATTAGGCCTATCAGACATCTTTACCAATATCCTCCTGAGACCCAGCTATGGAGTTTTTGCCTCTGTAGTGGACATACTATTTTAATGAATTTCTCTGAGACCTTGTCACAGTTGTAAGTCTGGATGTCCTGTACAGAGCACATTCAGGGCTTTCCAGAGATACCAAATGATCGGATGTTTCACCATCACCACTCCCTCTCCTTGGTTTTTAAAAATGGCTGACATTAATTTAGTGCTAAAATTGTACATCCTTATGGAAATATGATAATATTTTGTAATTACAATTTAAATCTGATTAATTTTCAAATTGTTTGTCATAAATCAACATCTCGGGAAAATGTTATGGGGTTTCAAATCAAAATATGACTTCCTTATGATTTCCTGTTATGAAACAGGACATCATTTCATACATGTCCACTGTAGAGGACACCAGGACTAAAAGCATGTTTATTATACATTTTGGGAGACAAAAGAATTGAATAGGAAAATAAATTATATATCGATATTCTTATGAAATATTAGATATTATTATGAAAATCTGGCCAATTACTACTCCCATCATTACACTTCTTTTTTCAACATGCTGTCCCAACAGCACTTTAATATGCAAATTAGATACAGTGTATAGATAACATTGTGCTTAATGGGAAAACCAGTTTATTTTTACACACATATTGCATAAAGCAAAATGGTATATCAAATCATTTTGTTATATATTTTATAACATAGTTGAGAACCATCCTTAAACAAAGTTAGGTATAAAAAAATCCTGAAACCTAAAAATTGATTGGCGATTTAAAAAAAAATTCCCATTGTCTTTGCCTTTTCATGTCTATTCTTGTCATTTTTTTTTTTTTTAGAAAAACTGAGTCCTGGTGTCCTCTACAGAGGACATAGCATAGCATAAAATATAATTTTTCAAAAATGTTATTTTACCATATTTTTCTTATGCTCTAAACAATGTAATGACATGAAAAAATACTAAATTCACAAAGCTTTTTATTTCTGGTTCTCAGGAGGATATGACTTCTCAAATCATACAGTGCAGCTTCATCTGTGGAAAGCACCTGCACTTTTACTTCCTTTCCATGTGTGGACTGGTCTTTATCTGCTGAAGGACATTTGCCTGCCTTTGTTTGGTAATGTTCACGCCACATATTGTTAGCTGTACACTCGTCTTCCATACAATTCAGATATATTTTCGCCGAACTGCACACAGATTGCCATCATAAAAGTAAAGAAATTACTTTACAAATTAGGCTATTCGAAAGTAAACTAAAAAAAGTAAACAAATATCCTAAAGACATTCTTTCTGAATGTAGGCCTATATTATTATTTGTTCCTCATCTCTCTTTGGCTGTGTCATTGTGCAAACAGTGCACCGCACCTAGGCCTAAGTCTTAGACTAACTCGAGCATTTACATGATTTAGTCATAGTTCACTTTTAGCCTGCCTCAGATACTTTGACACACACGCACATTAACTGAGAGGAACCTTATTATTTACGTTACCATAGCTGGATATGAGCATCGTGTTGATGTAACTATGTCCCCTACTGTTTGTTTGTCACTTGATGTAACCTAAAAAGAAACGAGATGATCACAACCATTGGCGGCTAGTGAAATATAAGCAAGGATGACAGAGTCGTATACCAACAACGGCCACATGATGGCAGGATTATAACTGCAAAATTAAGAGCGCCTGTGAGCAGATGGCTCAAATCTCTTTTAAGGTGCTATATTGAGAAAAAAAGAGAGCCTATGAAACCTAATAATTTGCATAAAAGTTCTAAGCTGACCCCTTGAGTGGTGGGCTATATATGGTGACATAAAACTACACACACACACACACACACACGCACAGGTTTGTTTTTATGGTTTATGGGGACTCTCCATAGGCGTAATGGTTTTTATACTGTACAAACCATATTTTCTATTGCCCTTCACCAACCCTTCCCCTAAACCTACCCCTCACAGGAAACTTTCTGCATTTTTAGATTTTCAAAAAAACTCATTCTGAATTATTTATAAGCCTTTTGAATTACGGGGACACTGAAAATGTCCTCATAAATCGCCTTCTCGTTGTAATATCTATGTCATACCCATGTTATTATACAAATTTGTGTCCTCATAAACCAAATAAACATGCGCTTACACACACACACACACACACACACACACACACACACGTCTGGTCAGCTATTCTTGTGGGGACTCTCCATAAGCGTAATGGTTTTTCTACTGTACAAACCGTATATTCTATTGCCCTACACCAACCCTATTCCTAAACCTACCCCTCACAGGAAACTTTCTGCATTTTTAGATTTTCAAAAAACTTAATTCTGTATGGTTTATAAGCTTTTGTACCCGTGGCGACCACAATTTAGGTCCCCACCGTGACACGAGTCCCTATGAGTCTGTGTGTAGTCAGGTTTAAGTCCCCACCAGGATATATAAACCCGTACACACACACACACACTCACAATTTGAGTTTCTATGTTTTATGGGACATTCCCTAGACATAATGATTTTTTTATACTATACTGAACGACACACACACAACTGGTCAAAAGTTTGGAATAATTGTAATTTTCTTACCAAGTCTCTTACCAAGGCTCAATTTATTTCATTAAACATACAGTAAAAGCAGTAATATTATTACATTTTAATATTGTTACAATTTAAATAACTGTTCAATTAATACAATTTTATATTAAGATGTAATTTATTCCTGTGGTAGCAAAGCTGAATTTTCAGCAGTCATTTCTCCAGTCTTCAGTGTCACGTGATCCTTCAGAAATCATTATAATTTGGCGCTCAAAAACATTTCTTCGTATTATTAATGTTAAAAACAGTTTTTCTGCTTAATATTTTTGTGGAAATTCTGATACAGTACCATTCAGAAGTTTGGGGTAAGTATAAAAAAACGTTTATTCCGCAAGGACGCTTTAAATTGATCAAAAGTCACAGTAAAGACATTTATAATGTTACTAAAGATTTGTATTTCAAATAAATACTTTTTATTTATCAAAGAATCCAGAAAAAGATGCATCACTGTTTCTTCAAAAATATTAAGCAGCAAAAACTGATTTCAACAATAATATGGATGATTGTTAATAATTGAGCACTAAATGAATGATTTCTTAAAAGATCACATGACGGTCAAGACTTAAGCAATGGCTGCTGATAATTCAGCTTTACCATCACAGGGGAAAAAATGTATTACAATAGAAAACTATCTAAATAATAATAATAATTCATAATATTACTGTTTTCCCTATAGATTTAATTAAATAAATGCAGCCCTGCAGTTTTAACTCTATTTAAAAACATAAAAAACTCTTTTTACCAGCAGTGTGTGCAACAGTTTGATGCCACTGTAATAGTTCTATGCCTCTGCAAGTTTCAAAACTGTAACAATAACTGACACAAATTATGTTGAATCAGTAAGAATCAGTGGTTTTATTTCGTTTATTTAAAAAAATTAAAATTAAAGTGCTTTTATGTACAATATAATAAAAACAACAAAACAGTAGTGATATATAATACAAAAAATACATTTCACAACAGTTTTTTTTTCCTTTACATTGGCAGCAAAATGTACAAATACACCTTTACATTAAAGTTTACAAGACATTAACTTACAATAGGTCAGAGCATCTTGGTGTGCCATTATAAAGAATGTATCTGAGCATTTAAGAGTGTAGCAGACTACAGTCCAGTAACTCTTATGTCTGAGTCAGTTCAGCACTGAAATATGACTATATGACTTTCTATACGTGACTAAATCTACTGCTTGTAGGTAGCAGCTGATGTACAGTGAAGTTTTCACATTGTCTACTCTGTAAAACGGCACGCTAATGATAATAATCAGATGATGTACTGAAAAACATAAGCAAATTTGCTTACATTTTAAATTGTTTTTGCATGATATTTTGAATGTGATTTTCAAACAGAGGTCTGAGTATATGTAAAACAGTTATATTATTATTACAAATACATTGTTTTTTCTCTCTCTCTTTTTTGTGCTTTAAATATAGTCGGTAAGTGTTTTGTGTGTGTAAATATATATATATTAGGGGACCCCTGTAGATATTAATTAGCACAGTGGAGAAATACCCTTGCAGTGGACTGTTGCACAGATGACCATTCAATATACAGTGGTTTGCGACTTTACATGTACTAGGTAATTCTACTGTGTAGTACACCAGAGCAGACATGCATGTGAGGTTTGCTTTTTGTTCACGTGCTTGAGTCACAAAAAGGCTACAATATTACATTTGCTTTCCCGCATACCCTTGGAGTCACAAAATCTAGCTCGGAGGCATTAACAAAATTCAATTGGTACTTGCTACAGCAATGTCAAGAGAATATTAATTCCCTGACACTTTAATTTGAACCATTTCCACATTCTGTGCAAATACAATAGGAAAAAAAAAGAATTGTAATGCATTCTGGTAAAAAAAAAAAAAAAAAAAAAAAAAATAACATTAAAAGCCGTTCACTACCTTCCCTTACAAATACAATTATACAACTCTGTGATCAAAGTCATTGTCCATCAGATCATGTAAAAGTAAATGTCCCGTTTTCAAACATTCAGCTCAAATTTAAATAAGACACAATGTTTCTATTGACAGAATCATTTTGGAACACTTTCAATCAATACATAACTACATTCACAATACAGATGTTTGTGTGATCTTTAAAGATCAATGGCAATCAAATATTACACACTTGGGTGGTGCAATATACAATGCTTGTCTTTGGGAATTTTACTGGAAATATGTTGATACTGGAAATAGACGTTAAAAAAAAATTTTTTTGTGTGTGTGTGTTGTTAATATACATTTTTACATCGATCCTTATGTTGATTTTATGCTATAGTAACTTACATTTGTGTCTTGTTTTGTGGTTTCCATCCCCATTGCTTTGCAGCAACCAAGTACTGTACTTTTTTTTTTTTTTCTCGATCCAGTATGACACTCTTGGCAGCTGATGATTTATAACTGACTGTTTCATATACCTATATGTCATTGCTCCCACCCAAAAACATCTGTTAGCCTGTTTTGACTTAAGGTGTTACAGTGAACATGGCACTTTTTCATGGAAAAAAATCTGCTGGTCACTTTACACTCTTCGGGAGCATAGATCTCATAGCTTAGCGTAAAATTGGCATGTAAAGTCTTAACCACAAGTTTTCATTCTGTCCGAATGCAAATTCATCATTCAAATTTACAACATGGCAATACATATCTTTAATCTGGACAAAGTACACTTTCGATTCAAGAGAACAGAGCTCTTGACAGATACAAAGAGATCTGAAATGGTTCACTAAAATCTTTTGGCACAACAACCAATTTGAATCAGTAAATCTCAAGAGACGTTTGGTCACTCCATTGACTGTATTATGCACTACTTCAAGGGATAGTTCAGCTGAAATTGAAAATTCTGTCATCATTTACTCACTCTCATGTTGTTTTAAACCTGTATGACCTTCTTTCTTCTGTGGAACACAAATAGAGATATTTTGAAGAATGTTTCTGCTGATTTTGTCCAAGTGGGGTCCAAAACAACACTTGAAACCATTGATTTTCATTTGACATTTGGAGTGTGAGTAAATGATGGCAGAATTTTCATTTATGCGTGAACTATCACTTTAAATCAGTGGTTCTCAAAAGGGGCCTCAAAATGACTTAAAACAATTAAAAATAATTACATAATTAAACATTAAAATAAGTCAAACAAACTAACAATGAAGCTATTTCTATTCAATTCACCCCGTTTTTTGTCTTTGAAGAACCAGAATTCCAAAAACTTAGATATATGAGAATTTAACTTTTTAGATTTCTAGACCTGGAAAAGTCATGTAAATAAAATAAAAAAAGCATTTTTTTTAATGAATAAAATTTTTCATACAGAAATTGTGAGTAAAAATTATTTTACCTTATTTAGTAAACCACAAACAACTGGAAAAGTCATGGGATCCTCAAATTATGTTATGGACTATGGGGGGCTTTGGAGTCAAAAAGACTGAGAACCACTGGTTTAAATGGTCTATCACTGGTAGCAATTGAATTTGGTTGGGGGTATAAGGAACATAGAGTTATTCAAATTCCTGCATCTTCAGAATGTAATTTGTGCCTTGGACATACTCATAGTATTGCGAACATGCCTTCTTTGGAGTTCTCTACACACTGAAACCCCACTGTGGGCACTTTATATGCCTCAATCTCACTTGCATACTTTTACGTGTGTACCTCTGAGAAGCGGTGTAGAATACTGAGGTTGTGGCATCACTTATTGTACTAGGACAGCCGTGAGCTGTTTGTTAGCTCTCTACAAGATGCTTCTCCTTTATGTGATTTGCATAGTATGCCTGCTATGTGCTGAGGTCGTGATGATATACTGCGCAAAGGTTTTGCATATATCATCAAAGATTTTGATGCACCACTACGCCTTATATTGTGTTGAAATGTCAGCTAATCATCTCACGTCAGGCACTATGTTTAGCAGAGAGACCATTGTAGACTAAAGTTTGAATTTTCGTTTTCTCGTTCACAGGACGACCAACTCTACATGGCAGACCGAGGGATGAGATGGGAGCATGACAGGTTAGTGAACCCTGAGGGCATCGTATTGCTTTCACACAGATGCCACCAGACATTTTTGGACGGACCGGGCAGGTCGACCAGATCAGCGTGTCTCACAATGCCCACTATTATTTTTCAACGTGTACTCTAGGCCTTGCGTCCCGCTCAGCGTGGCTCTGGGTGATTCACAGACTTGGCAGTGACTGAGAAATGTGAACAGATCACCAAGACAAAATGAGAGGAGACAAAGTGCAAAATAAAACCCAGTGATGGTACGTTTCCAGTCATTTTCAGTCTATCCCTCCCTTGGTGCTGTTCAGTTCAGAGGCCACTTTTTTTAAAACAGTCATCCCAAACAGACTTAAACGATCGAGTCTTTGATCTCCGAGCCCAGTCGCACTCGAGGCCGTGGACAAGTCGACGAAATCTCAACGTGGCTCTCCTTTAAGTTCAAAGGTCTTTTTTCGGATTCTGAGAAGCTCTTGCTGTTCTCGGGTGAGGAGCATTCGTGGGTGGGAGTGCTGCAGATGTAGTTATCATTGAGCGTCTGGTAGCCCTTGTGGTCAGACACAGAGGGCGGGATGTTGTTGCCATTTAATGGAAGGCTTTCCGTGTGCTTCCCTGGAATTCGTGGTTTCTTCTGTTGCATGTTGGGGCACTCACCTTCCTTCAGCATGGACTTCATCCTGTCTCGGTTCCTGTACACCACGAACAGCGAAAGGACCACCAGGGAAAACACGAGTAAGGCACACACAACGATCAACTCATTCCAGTATGTTTTGGTTTTTTGCGGCGACCATGTTTCCCCGGGCAGAATAATCGCTTCCCCTTGGGGTACCAACTGTGTTCGGGAACGTCCAGTCAGGGTGGTGATTTCGTGCTCCGCTTTGATGCAATAATTGGCCAGAAGTTGTCGGTAGCCACCTTCTTCTGACCAACATTGGTAGATCTCCTCCCTGTCCACTTGGGCTACAACCACCAGCCCGCCGTCAGGACTAGGGTAGACAAAATGTTCGGCGGTATGACTGTACTCCCATCGCCTCTCAGCCAAGTTGGATCGCAGCTTGCAGGGAAGAACCGTAAATGTGTTGGCTGGTATTTGTAGCACATGGCATGATGGAACACCTGTGGGTTAGATGGTCTTATTAGTTACTAATAAATCAAACATTTATCTCACATATTAGCAAACCACCATGCAACCACTTCAATTACTTACAGTCTATCAGAGCGCATTGCCGGAGGCGCTATGTAAATGCGTTTGGTCATGCCGCATGCTACAGTGCTTTTGTAACTGTAATAGCTTGTCTTAACCTCATGCACTCTATACAGCACTTTGTGGTTTGTTGGAAATAAGTTCTTCAAATATTGATTCATATGGGGCTTAGGTATTGTAAAACATGGCTGTTACTCACGTGGTGGAGTTGGTTTTGCAGAACGGGGGGTAGCAATTATCATTTTGCACACTGCAGTGTTGGCGTCATCTACATCTTGTTGCCATTGACTATAAAGAAAAGAGCAGGGGTAAGACGAAAATTCAATTCAACTGTTCAAGTCTGGGGTCGGTATGTTTTTTTTTATTTTTTAAAGAAATTAAAACTTAATTTTCAGCAAGGACACATTAAATTGATCAAAAGAAAAAAAATGTAAATTTAAAATTTAATGTTACGAAAGATTTCTAATTCAAATAAATGATGTTCTTTTGAAGTTTCTATTCTAAGAATCTTGAAAAAAAATTATTGTGGTTGAGAAGCAAAAACTGTTTTCAACATTTATAATAATAAGAAATGTTTCTTGAGTACCAAATCAGTATTATAAAGATTTCTGAAGTATCATGTGACACTGAAGACTGAAGTAATGGCTGCTAAAAATTCAGCTTTGCCAATAATCCTTATATAAAATCATATATATATATATA